CGGCGGAAGCTGCTGGAAGTAACATATGCGCTCCCAGAGACGGCAGCATTTCTGGATTCGGAGTTTCCGGAATCGCCCACGTGGAGCCTGGTTTTCTCCATCCCGATGCATCGTCGATGCATCGGCGATGTGGTGCGATCCTCCGCCCCAGTTGGCTCGGACCCTGTTCGGGAGGCCTGCAGAGAAGCCGCGCAGGCTCCGCTGCCGCCGGCGGTGTGGCGGATCCTGGGGGCGGAGTTCGGGGAGCGCTTCTCCTACTACGGGCTGCGCGCGGTTCTGACTCTGTACTTCCTGTCCCTCGGCTTTTCCGAGGGGGAGTCCGTCGCGTACTTCGCCTACACCTCCGCGCTGGGATACGTCATGCCCGTGCTCGGGGGCGTCGTGTCGGACGTGCTCTGGGGCCGCTTCCGCACCATCCTGGTCTTCTCCCTTGTCTACATCCTGGGCTCGGTGGCGCTGTCCGCCAACGCAGCCATTCGAGAAACGAACAACCGCACAAGCACAGACTTTGGAGCTCCGCGCGGATTTCCTAGATCGGCTCCAAAAGCTCATACACACGGTAGGTCCTCGTCGTGTCGACTGGCGGCGACCTCGCCGCTGGCGTTCAATGTTGGACGCCGACGGGGATCCAGAATCGGTCGACGTTGAACGATCCAGCGTTTCGGAAACAGCCGATCGGCCGATCGTTCAAGGTTGAAGTATCCCCGCGGTGTCAGGGACCAACGCCGAAGCTGGCACACCAATGCTTGAACATAAACTTTCGGATGTCCGCGCAGATTTCTTGGGCCTGCGCCGGGCCGCCCCTCGCTGGCGGCGCTGCATGCGCCGCCAGTGAGGGGCCCCAGCGCCGATCCCAGACATCCGCGCGGACCGCCGAAGGCCTACCGCCATCGTGGTGTCAGAAGGATCTCGACTAGACGTAAGAGTGACCTTTCGCTCGAGTGACCTTCGATGCGGTCACAAAATGGTCCCCAGATGGCTGAAAGCGAAGAGGTAGCAGCGGATTGTGCGCTCGTGCTTGGCTTCCCCGCGGCCCCAAAAAGCCGCGCACCAAAGGTCACTCTCACCCAGGGCCACTCCTGCGCGCAGCCGACGATCCCACGCCGACGTCGGCACGGCTCCGAAGGCCTACCGCCATCGCGCTTTCTCACCAGGAGCGCCGCGGGAAGGACGGAAGAAGGGGCCCCGGTTTCGGCTCCACCCGCTGGAGTGTCGACATGGCCTTCCAAAGCCCTTGTATCCTTATCGCGCCTCCTCACAGTACGGGCCGCCTTTATCCCCGCCCGAGTTGATCCTCACCGCCCACCAAACTACCCCAACCCAACCCGAAGGCCCCGATCCGCCGTCCATTTCCAGTGGGGGGGGAGGTCGGGGGACATTTAAGAAACACGCATATGAAGCCCGCACCCCCCCCACCCGAAACTCCAGTGGGTTGGGGTGGTCTGGTAGGTAGTCACCTCCTGAGCCCCAAGTGTCGCCTCTCTCTGATTCGTTGCTTCGCCGATCGGCGCGGGCCCCGGGTCGGGAACGGGAGCACATACATCACCAGGGGCGAGCCGTTCTTCCACCCCCGGACTTTTTGAGGGTCAGGGACGACGTCGGGGTGGTGTGGTGTACACGTTTTTTCGGTTTCCGGTGCGAACAGCGGAACATGTATACATCAGGATCCCGTACACACCACGATCCGCTTTCCTGTGCAAGCGTCGGCGCAGGGCGGGAAGAACGCGCCGGTGTGCAGAGTCTGTCTCCCGGCCTGGCCCTCCCCCTCCCCCCCTCCGTGGACCGGATCTTGGCTGCGCCTGGTGGCTGCTCGTGGCGACCAGTCGGGGCCCCTCTCCCCCCCCCGAAGTCTGCTGGCGCGACTGGCACGAGCAGATCGACGCAGCACCGGCCCGGATCCAGACCCCCCGTTCTCCCGCCCTTCGGCCACGGGTCGAAGCCGGGAATAACGACTCGCCTGCATGTTTCGTGTGCGGGGCCCAGGCATGCACACCACCACCACCTCCTTCCCCCCCTCCCTGCCCCAGGAAAATGGAGAGGCAGAAGAGGGTAGTGGAGGGAGGAGGAATCGGCGTGGTGGTGGTGTGCATTCTTGGGGCCCGCACCTCGTTCCAGCGTCTTGGCTGTATGTATTGGCTTGTGCAGCTTTTCGCTCCTCCAGCAATGGGAGGCGGAGCCACGCCCGCCTTCGCGGCCCTCCTGCTCGTCTCCGTAGGCATGGGGGGCATTAAGCCCTGCGTCTCCGCCTTCGGCGCCGACCAGCTGCCTGAGGGCGAAGAGGGCCTGCGCGCGCGCTACTTCGCGAGCTTCTACTGGTCTATAAACACCGGCTCCATCCGAGGAAGACAAACCGGCATACGAGCAGAAACCTTCGGAGTTCCGCGCGGATTTCTTGGATCGGCGCTGGGTCCCCCTGGAGGCGCCACCGGCGCCGCCCCTGGCGCGCCCTGGCGCCGCCAGAGAGGGGGCTCGGGGCTCACGTAACGACGGTCGGCGCTATCGGGGTCCGCCAATCCCCTCTCGCTGACGCGGGTTTGGAACCACGTGGGGCCGATTCCCTCTCTTTGCCTTCCTTCGGTAGCAAATCATGGGAGCCTGGTATGCCCTCTTAGTTCCATCTTGAGCGTCGTCTAGCGTCTGGCGTCTGGAAATCGATGAGGCAGCGTCGATTTAGCGTCGATTAGAGTCGATTTAGCGTCGATTTAGCGTCGATTTAGCGTCGATCAGCGTCGACTAGCGGACTAGCGTCGATTAGAGTCGATTCGCAAGAACCGACAAGATGGTATGGGAGGTCCCATGAGTTTCCACCGAACCGCCCTCCGCGCTGACCTTTGTCTGGGAGTTATGCTGAGTGGCCAGCCGGACTTCGGGACGGCCATGGCCGCCCAGGGTCTGCGCTGACCCGTGTGAGATCCCTGAGATCCGACATTGCCAAAAAGTTGCAACCTCGGAATCAAGCAATGGCGAAACGTCCTAGCTCGCCTATAGGCCTACCAAAGACTGTTCAAATAACCTTTTGTGGTCTGCACAAAATGTTCTTATAATATTTCTGGCTGATATTGTTTTGTTTCAACACATGGGGCTTATGTTCTAAGAGCATTGTTTTTTTTTTTTGTTTTTGTTTTTGGACCATTTTTTGGGGTTCTAAGCGCATCTCTTGGTAGGCCTATAGGAATGCCGGGACGGTCGGTCCCTACTCAACGGAAGACATCACGACCAGACCCCCGGACCCTACCTTTCTGCGCCATTTTTCGAGTCAGATCGACCTGTGAGGAGCCCCCAGGCCCCGAAGAGCAAGGCGAACACGCCCGGCTTGAAAACACATTGAGTCGCCAGGATCTCCGGGAGTGTGCGGTCCCGCGGGGGTCCGGCGTCGATCCATCGAGCGGGGGATCGGTTTCAGAATTGATTTACCCCAAAATCGAGTTCCCCGCCGAATCTACGAGAAAATGCGTGCCATGTCCCGTAGATCCACGAACCTTCTGCGCGCTCCTTGCAGATCCGGCGGGGAAATCAACCGTGGAGTGCATCGATCCTGTAGTCGAGCCCCGATCCGAGTTCAGGAACTCCGCGAGGGGCTCCGAGAGCTTCTCGGGGGTGGACAGACCTCCTGCCCTGACGCGTCGATATTAGCGAACTGGCCGTTGTCGGTTCGCGAGAGGGCGTCGCGGCCGTCATTTTCGCGGGCCCAGGTCCGTCGCTTTCGGTCCCAGGCCCTTTTCACTGGAGGGTGGTTTACCAAAGGGGAGGTTTGTCCACCGCCGAGCTTCTGTCAAACGCCGGGCTCTCTCCCTCCGCCCGTGCTCTCCTTCGCCGTGATCCCGCTGCTGCGGGCGCGCCTCTGCTTCTCGGCGGCCTTCGGGGCCTCCGCGGTCGTCCTCGGCGCGGCGGTGGCCCTCTTCGCCGGCGGCCGGGGCGGCTACGCGAGGCGGCCACCGGCGCCGGGCCTCTACCGCGGCCCGCGGGTCGTAGATCAGGAGAGGAAAAAACACACAGACACAATTAATCCTCGATTCTCAGAAAATATGGGAAAATATGGGAAGTGGGGGGGAAGACAGAAACCCGGAAAATATGGGAAAATATGGAACATCTTTTTATTTGTGTGTATTTATTTGTGTGTCCTGGGGCCCCTTCAGTAGAGAGGTGCATGCCCTGACCTTCCAGAGCACACCGGACCTAGCAGCCCACACACTGTTCATCTCTGATGCTTCGAAGGTGCTTTGCCTTTTGGGGGGGCCAAGGTCCTTTCATGTCTAGTCGTGCTATCCGGGGCCTCTTCCTGGCCACTGGGGGGCCAGGAAGAATCAGAAACGAGCACAATTTGAAATGAGCACGGTCAGAAATGAACGACGTGTATCTGGACTGCTGAAATCCTCGAGTAGGATTCGGGTGCCAAGATCCTGGTGCTGATTTTTTGCCCTCCTGGAAGGTCAGGGTGGGCAACAGCTTTCGGAGCTCCTGGCGAAGTTGCTCGGATCTGCGCTGAGCCCCCCTCCCTGGCGCGCGGAGCGCGCCGGGGGCGGCGCCAGGGGGGGCGCCAGGGGGGGGCGCCAGGGGCGGCGCCAGGGAGTTCCCCGGCGCCGATCCAAGCAGACCCGCGCGGACCTCCGACAGTTTACATTTGATGCCGCCATTTGTCACCACCCACCAAGCCACCCCAACCCAACCCGAAGGCCCCGATCAGCCCTCCATTTCTAGTGTGGGGGCGGGGGGTGGCGTCGGGGAACATTGCAAAGAACACACACGGAGTCCGTACAGTCGACCAGCATGGTAAGGATGGGCAACCTTCCCAAGGGTACCCTTGCATCCTTCCCTCCTCGGTCCATCCTTGGCCACTTTCGTTCTCCGCCCCCGCTCGAAAGAGCTCCGAGATGGCCCTCCAAGGCCCCTGGCACCCTTTCGTGCGTCACGATGCGGGCGGACTGTGCCCCCCCAACCCGAAATTTGGGCCTTCGAGTTGGGTCGCGGTGGTCGGGTGGGAGGACGCTCTGTCCTTCCAGGCCTGGCGGCCCGCCTGGCCGCGCGCCTGGGCGCCCCGCCCGCCGGGGAGGGCTCCTGGGGGCCGCCCGCGGGGGCGGCGGACCTGGCCGCCGCCGACCGGTGGGGGGGGTTCGCAGAGGGGGGAGAGGAGGATCCCGAGGTGGGGCAGAGGGAGGAGGAGAAGGAGGAGGAGGAGGAGGAGGAGGAGGAGGAGGAGGGGGGGGAGGAGGAGGAGGAGGAGGAGGAGGAGGAGGAGGAGGAGGAGGAGGAGGAGGAGGAGGAGGAGGAGGAGGAGGAGGAGGAGGAGGAGGAGGAGGAGGAGGAGGAGGAGGAGGAGGAGGAGGGAGGAGGAGGAGGAGGAGGAGGAGGAGGAGGAGGAGGAGGAGGAGGAGGAGGAGGAGAGGAGGAGGAGGAGGAGGAGGAGGAGGAGGAGGAGGAGGAGGAGGCGGAGGAGGCGGAGGAGGAGGAGGAGGAGGAGGGCGAGGGCGAGGGGGAGGAGGAGGAGGAGGAGGAGGGGAGGGTAGGAGGAGGGAGAGGAGGAGAGGAGGGGAGGAGGAGGAGGAGGAGGAGGAGGAGGAGAGAGGAGGAGGAGGGAGGAGGAGGGTAAAGCAAGGGACCTCCCTCCTCCTCCTCCTCTCCTCCTCCTCCTTCTCCTCCTCCTCCTCCTCCTCCTCCTCCTACTCCTACTCCTACTCCTCGCAGAGGGTTCGCAGAGGCAGGGGCATACCCAGCTGGATGGTGACATTTCCTTTTTCCAGGGGCCGTTTGGAGTGGTTTGTCTCTATCCCCAACCTTGCCCCTACCACACTTTTGCGTCCCGCCGAGCAGGGCGCTGCCGTGCCTAGGGCGGCTGCTGCCGCTGCTGGCCTCGCTGCCCTGCTTCTGGGCGCTGTTCGATCAGCAGGGCAGCTCCTGGGTGCTGCAGGCCCAGGGGCCCTGTCGAGGGACAAACGACGGCAGAAGCACACACAGTCAAGACGGTGGAATCAGTTGGAGCCGACTGGGGGTCTGAGGTGTCGCAGCACGGCTTCCGGCCAGTAGGGAGGGTAGGCAGGCTCGAGGCGCTAGGTTCGGGAAGTTTTTTTTTTTTGCCTTTCAGGCCTCCGGGGGCCGTTTTCGGGCCCCGAGACCGTTAGAAACGAATCCGGGGTGAATATTGCACCAGATGGAACCCAGGAGGGGTCCTGGGACCGATTTTGAGTGGACTTGGCTTCTCCCGACCGATTTTCTTCGGGGTCCCATCCAGTTCAGGCCCCCAGGCCGCCTCCAACCTTCAGATCCTCGCGTCGCAGGCAAGTTGCGCCCGGGGATCCTGGCGTCGCAGCTTTGTCGCGCCGGGCGAATCTGCTTGGCCCCATCCCCCCTCCTGAGATTTCTGGTGTCCCAGCCAGTTCAGGTCCCCCCCCGCGTTTTCCAAGGAGTAAGGTTAAGTCGGGCAGGTCCCTCTACAGGAGGAGTATTCAAGAATGGTAAAACACATACGTAGTCTGGTGACGATTTTCCGCGCTGTTTTGACATTTGTTTGCGGATTTTCTGACCATCTTTTATGTTTATTCCAACATCCGCCTGTAGTAGGACATGCCCGAACTAAGAATAAGGGTCTTTTTGGGGCTCAATCTTGGACAACTGAGTTGTGCAAGCATGCTCAGAGAGTGTGTGAGGGCAGTTTGTATGACGTTCGACAGCTCGCGGCTATCACAGCAGAAGCCTGGAAAGCCGCTGTGCGGCACTACTGTTAAGTCGGGCCTGTCCCTCTACATGAGGAGTGTTCAAAAATAATAACAAATAGTTGAGGGACGATTTCTTGAGTATTTAGGGTCATCTTTGAATGTGTTTTGACTATTTTTATGTTTCGTCGAAAATCCGCATGTAGGGGGGCACGCCCGACCTAACACTACTGCTCATGGTGTTGCATCACTGCCCGTGTGCTTCGACACACGGCTTGCGTTCATTCATTCGTTGGGGCTCAGGGCGTGCAGGCGTATCGGGGGCTCTGCACCTACTTGCGTATTCGACTTATGGCAATGTGGCCTCGCACTGTTCTCCTGCCAGGGCTGTTCAAGCCTTGCCGTGCGCCCCGTCGCACGGCCTTTTGGCACGGGCGAAGGAGCAGCAGGGACTGTGGCTCCGGTGGTGTCCGAGGCCTTGGGGAACTCAGCGGGCCCTCTCGAGATCCCTTGGGGCAGAGAAAAACAACAAGACACACTCAGGGGGGCTCAGCGGGGGCCGCTCCTCGGACCTGGGTCGGGGCGCCGGCCCGTGGCCGAGGCTCTCCTCGGCTGTGCTTCTGGCTCCTTCTTCGGCGCTCTCCCCGGGGGCGCCACGAGGGCGGCAGGCTTTCGCAGGTTCGCGGCGTGCCGACGTCGGCGTGGGTTCCCGGCACCGCGGGGGTCGTTCGGCCCTGAGCGATCGGCCGTCTCCGAAGCGCTGGGTCTTTCGGCGTCGGCCGATTCTGGGTCGCTGGCGGCGTCCAACGTGGAGCGCCCGCGGCGGGGTCGCTGCGAGTCGTTCGCTCCCCGTGGCACCACGATGACGACAGGCTTTCGGCGGTCCGCGCGAAGTTCCAGGATCGGGGCTGGGGCCCCTCACTGGCGGCGCCTGCGGCGCCGCCTCTGGCGCGCTGCGCTGCGGCGCCGCCAGTGAGGGGCGGCCCAGCGCAGGCTCAAGAAGTCCGCGCGGGCCCCCGAAAATTGACGTGCAAGCATTTTTTGTTGCTCTGAGGCCAGGGCCATGGACCGCGCCGGGGTGCTGCCGGGCGGCTGGGAGGTCTCCCCCGAGACGATCCAGATCTTGAACCCAATTTTTGTCATCGTGCTCATACCCATGGTGGCGCGCCTCTTCGAGCGATGGCCTCGCCAGCTTGGGCGCCCGCCGGGGCCCCTCAGCAGGATAAACGCAGGGATGCTGGCCGCCGCGCTGGCCTTTGCCTGCTCTGCAGCAGTGCAGGTCCTCGTCGACCGCTCGCCCGCTGGCTCCGTGCCGGTCCTGCTTCAGCTGCCCCAGATCTTCCTCCTGACCCTGGCGGAAGTGTTGGTCTCGGTGCAGTCGTTGGATTACTTCTACGGGGCAGCTCCTGCAGAGGCGAAGTCGGTGGTCACTGCCCTCCTCTTCCTGACGAACAGCGCGGGCGGCCTTCTGTGCGGCCTCCTGTACCAGGTACTGTCGCCGCACTTCGGTGCCGCGCAGCTGCTGCTCACTTTCGCGGCGCTTATGCTCGCTGTGGTCCTGCTGTTCGCCAGGGCAACGGCCCATGCCGAGGAGGCAGACGGAGGCGGCAGCGGCAGAGCCAACACAGCGCCGCCTTGAGAACAGGCATCGCCTTCCCCTCCCCTCCCTCTCTCCTCGCCCTCTGCGCTCTCGACTGGCGGCGCGCAGCTGGCGCCGCTCTCGGCTGGGGGGCTGCGCTTTTACACTGCCGCGTCCTGCTCTGCCTCACCCGCTCCCTCGCCTCTGCCTCGCGTGCTCTCTCGCCTCGGGCTGCAGCTGGTGGCGCCGCCGGCTGGAGGGGCAGCGCGCGCCACGCCTCTGGGCTGGTCGACGGCCGCCGCGGCTCTGGCTCGCCGCTGCGCCTCTGCCGTCCCTCGTCGCTGTCGCTGCGTCTCTCTTTCGCCTAGGCTGGCTTCGGCCGTTCCCCTCGTCGTTCGTCCCTGTCGTCTTGCCTTTCCCTCCCGTTGTCTCCACCTGGCGGAGTGTGCGCGCCTCGTCCTCCTCTCGGCCCTCCACCGCGCCCGAGAGAGGCCGTGCGTTGCGAGCTGCTCGCTTTTCCTGGACGACTCGCGTTGATCGGCGCATAACCCAGGGGAGCACGACTTCTATATGTTTGAGCGTGATCGACATTTCATTCGATCGCACTTTGGGCTGACGCGTTTCGTCACTGGAGTACCGGCCGATGTTTCATCCCCGCGGAGGGGTGAAAGTGTTTTGGTTCTCCGTGTGTGTGTGTCGATGATCAGCTAAGGCAGTATCTGCAACATTGGTGGCTGGCGACGTGGTCCCGGTGCCTGGACTCCCGCAGGGGCTCCGCTGGGACCGTGAGGGGGTCGCGCCACGCCCTTTGGCTGGATTGCGTGGTGGGCCCAGTCCGAGGGGAAGCGGGGCATGCGGAAGGAGTGAACCTCTTTCAATGACAGGGCTCCCAGCTGCCTCGGCCGGGCTGCTAACGTCTACACGGAGAGGGAGCTCCGGGCTTCTCTTGGGTCCCAGCCCGCGGGTTCCTTGCGCGGCATCAGCCAGCATCATAAGGACAGGTCAGTTTCCCAGGGTGCTCTTCCGTCCTTGCCCATGCGGCCTTAACGCGCGTCCTTCTGGTCTGGTTCGGCTGTATGTCAGCAGCTGTCGCAGTGGGGACAGCCCGGTCGCTCGTCCGACTGCTGGCAGCGGGACAGCTTGTCATCCTGGTCCCGGAGGCAGACGCGTGAGCGATACAGCGAAGCCGGCGCCAAGGCCCAGCCCCGCGGCCGTCGCCTCTTCTCTCGAAGAAGAGAAAATTTTCGGGGGTCCGCGCGGATTTCTTGGACCGGCGCTGGGCTGCCCAGGCGGCGCCTCCAGCGCCGAGGCAAGAACTCCGTATGGTCTTCCGCAAGTTTGTGTCCGTGTTTCTTTTGTTCCTCCGCCCTTGCAGCAGCGCCCACCAGCGTCCCGCCTCCCAACGGGAGCCTGAGCGGCGCGCCTTTTCCTGCGGCTGGCCTGCGACCAGTAGCGGACCCTACACCTGCGGACCCGCTCGGGTTCGCCTGGCTGCAGATATCCTTCAGATTCAGTCGAAATCGATGATGCACCTCACCAAGCGTACCCTTGCATCCTTGCCTTTTCGGTCCATCCTTGACCACTTTCGAGGGCCAGCCCCGCTTGAGAAGCCTCGACACGGGCGCACGAGGGGCTTGCATCCTCATCGCGTATCCTCATGATCGATTCCGGCTGTTCTGAGGCCCGGCCAGTCTCACCGAAGTCTTAAGTCGGGCCTGTCCTTCTACAGGGGGGATCTTCAAAAATAGTTGTTTTTTGTATCTTCTAGTATTCTGTTATTCTTCGCCCCAAATCCCCCTGAATGGGGGGCACGCCCGACCTCGCCGCAGTCTGGCCTGCAGGGGCACGCGGCCCATACGCCTGCCTGGCGCTGCGCGGCGCCCGGCCAGCGGCCGGGGCGAAACTGGGCCCGGCCGGTGCCGGGAACGTGCCCTCCACACGATGTCGTGGTCGTCCACTCGAGCAGTGGCGAGGCGTCCCTGCGAGCCAATAGGCCTACCAAGCAATGTTGTGAGAACTTTTTTGTGGTTTCCAGAAATGTTCTTAGAACATTTCTGGCGGAGTCCGTCCTGCTTTATCGCATCGGTTTTATGTTCTAAGAACGTTGTTTTTGTTCTTAGAGCATTTTTGGATTCTAAGAACATTTCGTGACTATAGGAATGTCAAGACGGTCGGTCCCTGCTCAATCCACCACTTAGTGTTGAGTCGTCGGAGGTTGATCGACCTCCTGCCCTGACACGTCGATCAGCGAACTGGCCGTTTTCGGTTCGCGAGAGGGCGTCGCGGACGTCATCTTTGTAGGTCCAGGTCCGTCGGTTTCGGTCTTAGACCGTTTTCACTAGAGGGTGGTTTACTAAAGGGAGGTTTGTTCACCGCCGAAGTCGGGCCGGTCCCTCTGCAGGAGGAATATTCAGAAATAGTCAGCAAATGGTATGGGGCTCCATTATCTTTGATCGTGTTTGAACTCGTTTTGAACATGCTTTCATTTTTCCTTCAACATCCGCCTGTAAGGGACATGCCCGACCTAAACTTGGTGGCAAATGGCGGTCCAAACTTTTTGTTCGTCGGCGGCGAGGCGGAGGCGATGCACACCAGGGAAAGGGCTAATCGGGGGTACCGATCGGCAAACAGTCCGGCGTCCAGGAGAGCGAGGAGGAGAGGAGGACGGCCGCGCAGGGGAGAAGGAGGTAATTAGGCGCTCAGACGTGGAAGAATTCAGCGGTGAGCGGGTCAGAGCGGCCAGCCCGGGCAGCGGGGACCGCGCACCGTCATGGCTTTCGGCTTTGGAAGCGCTGACCGTTCCCGTGCAGAGTCCATGATGATCCCCCAGATGATCTGTGTGGGCGCTGGCTCTCCATCAGCCTCGCGCTTGCTGGCATTAACCGCCTCGGCTCTGGACTCCGAACACCTCGCGCACCACCGCGTCCAGGGCGTCGCGCGCCATCCAAGGCCGCGGTCCCAGGTCGGGCTCCACTACCGCTGGGTCTTCCATGAGCCACTCCGACCGGACGTGGGTGACGTCGTGCCATTCCGGAGGCGCCTGCTTGTTGCTTTCGTGGTACTCTCTGGCTTCCAGGGCCAGCATCGCGTAGTTGCCAGGGGCCCCCGTCCACCCGAACACCATGGTTAGGTAGATGATCCGCACGTCCCCCTCGATCCCCGCGTGTGCGCCTGGGAGGGGAGTGCCGAAATCGCTCAAGTCGGCCGGCCGAATATCGATCCATTTAAAGGCCCGAGAGAGGTATCCCAGGATTCCGCGCCCTATGCCAGATGGCATGCCTAGCCAACTGGCGATGCCGAGGCTGGACGGCAGGGGGGTGGTCCCGCTTGATGGTGGCCGCGTTGGCGGACAGCATTGCGCGGATCATCCGCCCCTCCGTGGACAGGGTACGGTCAGGCAGCTGCTTGGGAATTGTGCCAAGTGGTGCTTCCGCCAACTCCGACAGGAACCCTTCCGACCGCTGCGACGTAACCAAGACGATGCCGTAGGCCACGTCCCGCCAGACCTTCTCGTAGGCCCGCACGCTTTTGTATTGTTGTGCCCTCTTCCGGGCTCGCTGCGATCCACGCCTCGCGGACGCTCGTCAGCTCGCGCACGTATTCGAAGTGCTCGCGCCCCAGGCGTGCTTGCACCCGCTCGCTTAGCGCACCCCGAAGCGGGTTGCCAAGGCGGTCATGCCGCGCCTCCCGGAGGAGCGTGGCCGCCTCTTCCAATGACCCCGCGCTCCGCACTAGGCGGTCCCCCAGCCCCACAAGGGTGGCCATCGCCTTCGCGTCGAACTCCGGATGGCCCGTGCAGAAGTTGAGGCGGACCGTCGCGATTTCGGCTGGGCTGCACCCGTCGAGGCTGTCGCTTAGATCCGCCTCTGGGTCCTCGCAGGCCGGCCGGGCCTTCCTCTCTTTTGGGCCAGGGACATTCCCCTGCGCCCTCGCCTTTCGGCTGGGCCACCCATTCTGCGCCCGTCGCATAGCTGGTGATACCCATCCGCATTCAGAGCCGTCCCCGGTGTACTCGAGCATCTCGAGTCCAGCGAAGTCGACGTCTTGTAGACCTCCCTGCGATTTCTGTTGTGGGGGCGCCCCTCGGCCATCCCGCAAAGGCTCTCCAATTGCCTATCCAGCTGGTCCACGGTCCAGCGTTGGTAGGCTTGAGTCGGGCGTGTCCCTCTACAGGGGGACGATGTCGTGAGCATTTTTTGTTTTTTTTGAATTTGTTTTCCAACTATTTTGAATTTTTCTTCCAAAATCCCCGTGTAGCGGGACACGCCCGACCTGATGGTAGGCACTCTTAGGTGCCTTGGCCCAGGCTGCGCACGGCCGAGGCGCCCAGCTCTGGGCCTCCGTGGTCCGCTGGATGCCCGTCCCTGGCACCGCGTCCCGGAGCTCCGCGTGCTCGTGGTCCCGCTGGCAGCGACGTGCCGGCAGGAGAGCGTGGAGGAAAAGCTGATGGGCCTGTTCTACACCACCACCACCACCATAAGTTGGAGGGGGAGGGGGTCCTCCTCCTCCTCCTCCTCCTCCTCCTCCTCCTCCTCTTCCTCCTCCTCCTCCTCCTCCTCCTCCTCCTCCTCCTCCTCCTCCTCCTCATCCTCCTCCTCCTCCTCCTCCTCCTCTCCTCCTCCTCCCTCTCCTGCATATGGTGGTGGTGGTGGACAATGGGCCCATCAGACGCTGGGGGGGTGACCAACCACCAGCTTCCCTCCGTGCAGCGCCGGGGCGGGTCGTCCGAGGGCCCTGTTCCCCGGGCGCGCATGTGGATCGGGGAGGTCATCACTCTGGTGCGACACCGCAGCGTCACCGTCGCTGGCTGGCCTCACATCTTGGGGCAGCGGCCAGAAGGCCACGGCGACTCGATGAGATACTCCCTCCCTCCTCGAGGATGATCTCGCAGATCGCGCACGTGAGCTGCGCGTGAGCATTCCCACTGGCCTCGAAGTTCTTGGTCCCGTCGCCCTCCGGCTGGCCCCAAGTCGAGCCCTGAATTCCCTGGCCTGGGTGAGCCAGCAGTCCGAGGTCGGAGCAGGACCCGCAGGGCGTGCCCCAACGACACGCGTTGGTGG